CTCCCCACTCCTATAAAAGTGTAAGTCTTTCTTTTTTCTTAGAGGCTTACAGTAGAAAGGAAACATACTTCTTTGACTCCAAAAAAGCCAAAATTTTGTACCAAGCAAGAAACGCTTCCCTCCTCTCCATTATAATTTCAAACTAAGCATTTGGACTCTCTCCCAATGTCTCAAAGAGTGAAACAAACTCACTATCTTCTCTCTTCCCTCTTCCTCTATGTACTCTCTAGACCTCCCTAACTGAAATCTTTTCTCCCCTTCTTTTCTCCATTCGATCATCTCTCCTTTTGATTTTGTTAGCAAGAAAAACAACAAAAAAGAAAAATAAAACCCCCTCATCCTGAATGTTCTTCTCACTAGTGAGTTCCCTATTGCATTTTCATGCTCTCCTTGCTGTCAAGGTTGTCAAGGACACCTCAACATTCTTAGAGCACCTTAAAAGTCATCTCACAACAGCCCTTAATAGTTGGAAGAAGGCCACGAAAAGATATATTTTACAACCTCTCTAATGTAGTTTAGTTTTTTCTTTTATTTTCTTATTCTTTCCTTGTATGTTTGCATGACAAATAAAGTAAGATAAATCTATATGTAACTGTGTTTTGCCATGTTCATCAAGTATTTTTGAGAATATGTTAAGATAGCTTGTAAGAATTCAGTTTTGATTGAAAATTTAGCTTCTTTTCATCTCTTTTTCTTGCTAGTTACTCTAATTGTAAGGAGCAATGTATAACTTTTTTTTTTCTCAATGTGTGAATTATTTTTGGGTTACTCCAGCTTGTGGAAGAAATGTTCTCTTCTTTCTTAGATTTTAGGTGCATGTAATCTCTCTTTTTTATTATGTCCATGTTATTCTTTCTCTTGTGCAAAGATTTATTTCTTTGGGTGAATTTATGTTTCTTGTGCTATTAGAATATAAGAATTGAAAATTGGCTTTCAAGAGAAGACTACTAGTAGGAAACCTATGAGAGGATAACAAAGAATTGGGAGATCTCCCAATTACTTTGCTTATTTGTTTGTTTGTTTATTATTTTTTTTTTGTTTGTGAATTTGGAAGTCTTTTTACTATAAGGGTTAAAAAGAATGGTATTCCACACAAATCATGGGGGAGGGGTGCCTAGCACCTAGGGACGACAATTTTCTTATCCTAGCCGGGTGCCCAACTTCATCAAGGAGGGGGTGGGGGTTGTCTTAGCGGGGAAGGGACATGGATGGGGATTAATAGGAATCCTAGGGTCAGGGATAGGGAATGAAGTCCCCGTTTCGACCCAACCCCGATTATATATATGTATATATTAAATATATGTTATTATATATATATATATATGATATTATTTATATTGTATATATATATATCAAAATATGTTTAAAATATTATTTTATTTTTAAAAAATATCTTTGATTTTATGTAAATTTATTTTTATAAAAAATTCTATTAATTAAAAAATTTTGGAGATTCGGGTCCCTATGGGAACCCGCCTTTGTTGAGGATCGAGTTAGGCATAGGGATTTATCTCTAAATCGGGGTCGAAGATAGAGAATATTATCCCTACCCAAACCCACCCCGTTGCCATTCTTACTAACACCTTCCTTCTTCTTTCCATTGGATCCCTAGAGTGTTATTTGGATTATGAGAGTCATTGTTTTTTTCATTTTATTTCATGTCTTTAAGTATGAGAGGAACATCACTTCCATGTTTTTTAAATAGATGGGTGGTAGCTCCATTTTGGCCATGGTGTGAGCCCCAAATCAATTGGATGCTTACAGTATGGGAGGGAATACGTGTCATCATGATTATATAAGGATAATGTTGGAAGAAGGGAAGAAATTAAAGATTTAAAAGGATAAAATTGGAAAAATAAAATTATACCATTGACGAAAGATAAAAAAAGAGATTGTGAAACTCTCCCTTTTATTATAGGTATATGACTTACATTAGTTAAAATGAGTTTATGTGAGTGTGTTGATATTTATTAGGATAAGATAATTGAGGTGGGTTAATCTTTGATGGGTTAGGCTAGTTTAAATTAGATTTTATGTGGGTGATTTACTTTTTAATTAATTAAGTTAGTGTATATATTTGAGGTATTTTAAACTAGATTAAGTTAGGTTCTAAGTGGGTTATTTAATTTTCAATTGGTAAGGCTAATCTATATTAGATTAGTTTTCACGATTGTAAATTATGGTTTTAGGGATTTAGTTGAGGCTCATTGGTCATATTATAGAGTATGTATAGTTTTATGGGCAATTTATTTTAGAGATTATAGCAGATAAGGGCAACTTTTGGGCCTTAAATCAATAAAAGTAATATTTTTAATGAAATTTCAAAAATATGTTAACTTTTTAAAAATAATATCAAATAAGGGCAAAATTACTGTTCATCTTCTTCTTCTTACAAATCATTCATCAGCATCGCCGTCCGCCACCGCCTCTAGCAACCTTCGCCCACCTCTGCCTCCGCCTCTAGAGGTGGGCAGAGGCAGAGACAGCGACAGCGTTGGTCTACCATCCACCAGCGCTACCACCTCCGCCCACCTCTGCCTCCGCCTCCGCCCACTTTTGGAGGCGGAGGTGGCAGCATTGGGTTGAGGTAGTGGCGGAGGTGTTGCCAGAGGCGGTCGTGCTAAGAAATGATCTGCAAGAGGAAGAAGATGAATAGTGTTTTTGCCCTTATTTGATGTTATTTTTAAAATGTTAACATATTTTTGAAATTTTATTAAAAATATTACTTTTATTGATATTAAGGCCCAAAAGTTGTCCTTATCTACTATGATCCCTTTATTTTACACGTCATATTTTGGAGGGACAACTTACCAATTCAATTATTGTGTCATTGGTAACTTTTTTATTTTAAAAGAAGATGCAATTTAAAAATTGTAAGATTATATTTAATGTAACTTATCTTTATTTTCGTATGAATAAGGAGATGTTGCTTTTTATGCATAAAGTTGGTTTATATTGATAATAATGATCAATTTATTTATTTTTTAAAAGTGTAACTTACTTTGATAAAAAGGTAAACAAATATTCTATATGTTTTGAAATAACTTATGAGATTTTAATGGTTATATAATTTTTTAAAATAATTTATTTGATTAACTTATGAGTATTCAATGGCTAAAGTGGTGTTATACTTTTTTTGATAATTTTTTCAAAGTTTGAATCAATGCACATGTGTTTTAAAACTCTAATCCAGAAAAATTATATTTAAATTTACTATGTATTTATTTTCTAAAAGTAGAGGGATTTTATTTTAGACAAGTGATTATTAATTTTTTAAGAAATAATTTCTAAGTAGTATTTTTTATACTCTCAAACGTAAGTCTTATACTTTAAATATACGACTATCTCAAGAAAAAAATTTAGAATTATTCTTCCATTCTAAAATAAAAGTGACATGGTCATTTTATTTTTTATAAAGTACTCACTTCAAATGATGTAGGATATGATATTAATGATGAGTAACCTTTTTAGTTGATTTTTAATAAAATATATTTATTAAATAAGGTGTTTAATATCAATTTATTGCATGGGTTTTGCATTTATAGTTGATGTAAAAATTAAAAAATAAAAAAAAAATTAAGTAAAAGATACAATGTTAAATTGTTTATTATAGATAAACACCTTTAAGCGCATTTAAGATAAAAGTCTCACACAATAGTCTTTAAAGAAAAACATTAAAATGGTATTTCCTCCAAAAGTAATGTCTATATAATTCAAAAAGAAGAATAATATTTAATATTATTTCATAATATATATTAAATTGGTTATAGTATAAATTATACCACACGCTATATGTGATTTAAATTAGATCAAAATATAAGGTGTGAATTAAATTCTATTACATTTTATAGAAAAAGATCAATGTATCGTATATTTTAATATTATGAATGCTATTAACTTTTATTATAGATAAATTGACACTATATCTCAATTTATTCACACTACATGTCTTAAAAACAAAATTAATTAGAATAAAAATATTGATAAATAAAAGCTAGTTTAGTTTTTTAAATTAAGAATGAATAATTTTACCTAAATATAGAGTAACTTAATTAATATAAGTTTTTTAAAATAGTGCATTTCATAATTCATATTTAATATATAGTAAAATAGTAGAGCCAGTAGAATAGAGAGCTTTTTTCATAAGACATATGGTTATTTTTTTTTTAATGAACAAAATATACATGCATGTATTTGAGCATGGATTTGTGTGTAATGATAGTTTGAATTTTAATTTTTTTTTGTGAATTTATTCTCAGTGCTTTTTAAGATTTAAAACATTGCAATGAAGTATATAATAGGTATTGATTTTTGAATCTAATAATATATCATATAATGAGACTTTACTTGATGTGACATATTTAGAAAAATGCGTATTATTTACGGTGTGATGTGAATTAGTTGAAATTAAAAAATAAAATTATAATATTCAAAAGTAATAATAATAACAATAATGAGTGAAAGTGATAAATTGATCATGACTTATTGAGAAGAACATTGCTTAGCAAAACAAAAAAATGTTAAGAAGAAAAAGGAAAAGTTGATTTTTATTAAGGAACTTTTATTTTCTCTTCTGAAATGTGAGAGGAAGTGAAGATAAGTAAGCTTTTGAGGATCAAAGTGATGATTGATTATATTTTTTGGCATTAAATCAATATTTTGGTAAATTTATTTTTCATCTAAGTAGTATATGTTAAAAATAAAAGACTTTCATTTAAAAGTTAAAAACATTACATTTTTAATGGTGGTGTCAATATTTTTTTTTTTTTTGTTTTTTACTTACAGAAGTTAGAATTTTGGTGGTAGAGCCTTAGAAATTAGAATGCTGCATGCGCAATTTTAGTAATCAAGGAAATACTAATCAAATAGCTAGAGTGGGTATAAGGATTATACTTTAGCATTGCTCTTTACTCAAGGAGGATGCACCCAAGGCCAATTTTAGCACTGCTCTTTACAGAATCATTAATTATTTAATTTACATGCTTTGAATCACTATGCAGGGTTGTGCAAACTAAGGAATCTCCAGGAGTTGGATCTTAGTGGCAACGATTTCGTGGGTAGTCTCAACCATTGTTTAGGAAATTGACATCCCTTCACGCATTGGATCTTTCTTACAATCAATTTGAAGGAAGTATTGACACATCAATCATTACTGGCCTCACTTCTGTTGAATACCTTTCTCTTTCACATACTTGGTTCCAAGGCTCATTTTCATTTCATTCATTCGCTAACCTTCCAATTGAAGTCTCTTATCGCTTCCATTTCCATGTTTTCTAAAACAACAATCCTAGAATGAAAGTTCAAATCTATCTAGATTTTGGGCTTTTTTGAGGTTTGACTTTCATAGAGTTGTGACTTTCCAAGAACAACTTACTAAGCTACGAGCCCATTTCAAAATCCAAGCCATATAACGTGTCCATAACATGGTTAGATCATTTAATCAGGGCCGTTCAATATGCATATATCATCTTTCCAAATATGGAAGTTCGGGATCAAATCCACAGAACTGCATGTTAAGGTTAGTGGGCCTCAAATGCACCCTATCCCTAAATCCCCCCTAATGTGTAATATGTAATACCAAATGAAATTGAAAAAAAATTAAAGATTAGGGGATCTTATTATTGGATCCCACAAAAAGATGTTGATGACCCAGCAATCGAGATGGTCACTTGGCACCCCTCCAGATAAGAATAACGGTATCAAATTTACAAAACGACTCTTGGTGGGCCTCACGTGCACCTAGGGGTGTCAATTGGACTGGATTTAGTTCAATCCGGTCCAGTCCAATGTGAGTCTATTAACACATATATTCTTATCTTATATTAATGGATCAGATATTAGCTTAATCCAAACCCGGTCCATTGACACATATATTCTCATCTTATATAAGGGGTGTCAATTTGACTGGATTTGATTTAGATTGGTTTTAACCCAAACCTGGTCCATTGACACATATATTCTCATCTTATATTAATGGACTAGATATTGACTTAATCCAACCCAATCCAATATAAATTTATTACGAACGAACTAGGTCCAATCCAATCTGATAAATATTTTGGACCGAATTGATCCAATCCATTATCTTATTGATCTGTTTAATCTGTCCAAATTGATTTTGAACCAAACGTTGTCCAATCCAAAACCGCTCCATTGACACCATTTGTACCTTGCCGTGCCCTCACCTCCCATTCCTCTCTCTAGTATGTAATAATAGGAAAAGAAAAAAAAAACAATGGTATTGATATGAAATTAATATTTACTTGCCTATTCTTCACTACCTATTGCTTTCCAAAACAACAAATTCTTGAGTACTTACTTGTAATGAAACAAAGAGTAACAAACATGAAATCATCTCTCTCTCTCTTTCTTTACAGATATAAATATGACTAGATAAAACAACGTTACCTTGTGCAATATGAGATGGTGAACTTAGGCTAACTAGCCCTTTTATTGATTCTGTCGCACCATTATGCATCAAATATGTTTGATGGACAACAGCAGGAGATCAGAACTAGGCACCATTTATACACGAGAACATTCGATGACTCCGGAATCCTGCCAATTCCTTTGACAAACGAGGCCCCTTACCAGTTGGCTGTGGAGAATAGAATCCACCCGCTGAGAATTCTTTGACCGACTTGCTTCTCCGACGGCCATCATATTTTTCATTGAGTTCTGGAAATTTCTCCGGCGGTGGACCCAGATAAATGTGACGGTCGGTCTGCAGCTCGGCAAGGTTGTAGCCTTTAGCAGCTTGGCCGGACGACAGGCACTCGTATTTCCGACGAGTGTTGCTTCTCTTGATGGCTTTGTAGACCAGAGGAATGAGACCCTCCATGAATAATCTTCTGGGAGAAGAGACTTTGGATGGTTAGAAGGTTGAAGGAGAAGAGTTGGGTTTGGTGGGTTGTGATATTCTCCACTGAACTTTTCTCTTAAACGGGACTATGGAAGTCTCACACGTCATTTTGCCTTAAACAAGGCTGACCAACCGAGATGACTTGTTATGAGAAATGTTTGAAAGAACAAACCTTACAAGGTTTTTAATCGAGGAAAACAGAAGGAAGGAGAAGCTTGCCTACTCTTATCTAAACGTTTTTTGGTGCAACTGAGCTTGATTGATACTGCTTGATAGGGATGTTTTTCTGATCATGGGCTTTTCATTCGGGAAAAGCCCATTATACCCATTAGTCGTGAAGAACAATGGATGATTCACCACAGGGTGTACCAGTCCCAAACTGATTAATCGGTTACATGAGATAGATGTTGATATAATAAGTGTTTTTAGCCAAAATTACTTAATATACTCTCTAGTAAATTAATCCTTTTAGACAAAAAGAAAAAAAAAACTATGACAATCATGGTTTTTAAAAACGAACCAGTGACCGAACCAGTTGGGGGTCTAGTTATCAGTTTGAACGGTCCGACCGTTTGACTCAAATGACCAGCCGGTTTTGACAAAAAAATTTAAAAAAGAATTAAAAAAATCAGAAAACGGTCAAAACCTTTGGAACAGTTAACCAGGTGGTTCAGCGGTTTACTGACCAAAATCAACAGTTTTGGGGGAAAACGGAATCGGTTTCCGCTTTTTCTGGTCTGGTTTGGTTTTGAAAACCATGATGACAATTATATGAAAATTAGGAGACTTTTATATAGTATTAACTATGGGCCCATTTGGCATGTCTTTTTGGGAAGATCTTCTGGTAGCTCTGACAGTTAAAAGATGCATAGAGCTTTTGCATGAAGATCTGAGCAGCCTGAAGTTAGTTTGGTAGTATCACGTCTTTCCATGCGTCTTTCTACCATTGTTTTCAAAACCGGACTAGACCGGACAGTCGGACTAGAAAAACCGGGAATCGGTCACCTGATTGGTTCCGTTTTCCTCCAAAATAGCTTTTTCCCCCAAAACTGTTGATTTTGGTCAGCAAACCGCTGAACCGGCCGGTTAACCATTTGAACCATTCGAACGGTTTTGAGAGTTTTCTGATTTTTTAAATTTTTTTTATTTTTTTTGTTAGAACGGGTTGGCTGTTTAACCGTTTGAACCGTTCAAACAGTTTTGACCATTTTCCAATTTTTTAAATTTTTTTATTTTTATGTTAGAACGGGCCGGCCATTCGGGTCGAACAGTTGGACTGTTCGAACCGGTAACCGGACCCCTGACCGGTTCGGTCACCGGTTTGTTTTTAAAAACCATGCTTTCTATGCGAGAATAAAACACAAAAGACACAAAAAACTTGATTTGAAGTTTCCCGAAATCAGTCCAAAATGGGCTTCTTATATTTTTTCAACACTTCAACTTTTGACGACTAGATCTTTCACGAACCAAATAAAAATAGACCGAAAATCAATCTGCTCAACTTATAAACAGTCGAAAGACCACACAAAAAACACACCAAACGAACCCATATTATCAATCAGTTCCGATCCGATTATTAATTAGAACAAAACCATCAGAACCAACATAATTGGTTCGCTTGGTTTGGTTATGTCGGGTCCTGATCCACTGACACTGACAACCATAAAATGTGTCGTTCTCATGAATGAAATAAATGTAAAGAATGAATTGCTCATAATCAAATGGCTATGAATCGCTATTCCAGCTGATTCTTTGGGTGAATTTGTAAGATAGGGAAGTCAACATAATGATGAAATAATTAATTTGGGTTAAAAATACTCTTACTTTTTTTAATTGGGTTAATGGGTTTGCTAGCCTCATTAAGAATAAAAAAATGGGTCTGCTTGACCAGGACAAAACGTTGGTTTTGTCATTTATGTGCATGGGCAGAGATAAGCAGGGAGATCAATCCTGTTCACAGGTTATTAGGTAGATGAGGGTCCCTCCCCTACTTTCGTGTAGGACTTGACTATGTGTTTGACTCAAATTGTAATAAGCCCACACACAACAACTTTTGTTTTGGTCATCTTGAAATCAACTTGTTCTTTTTAAAATCCGAGAATCAGATTATATGTTTCATTGTCTTTAACAATTTAAAATTATCTATTAGGGTGATGTATCAGTATCACCTACTTGCAACATGAAGAACACGTCCAAAGAAAAGACTAATGAAGACATGTGGATCATTGAACCGATCCAAACTAACTAACCTTAAAGAGAAGCAGCATATGAATAATATTGAAGAGGGTAATAAATAAACCATGCTGTCTTACCTTTTCTCTTTTCAATCAGTCCAATTTGGTAGCTTGAAACAAAAGAAAGCCTGGTGTTGCCTTCGGAATGTGACCTATAACCTATTTTTTGTTCTATGACTGTGTTGGAACTGAGGCCACAGGGCCCCACTTGTGGTCTGGTGCCCCATAACTAAGCTATATATCTGTTGTAGAGTCAGCCTATCACTAAATGGGTTCCACCCAAAAGAGGTCCCACCTGGAAAAGTTGCCATTATTAATTAGATGGGTTTCACCATGAAGAAGGAAATGAACTAAATATCTGCATTTATGGTCATCATAAGCAGACCACAAAGCATTTGATTGGTTCTTTTTTTACTCATGACTATATTAAGAGGGTGTTTGGTATGAATGTGTTTCATGATCATTTCGATCAATTCTTTTTCTTTCATTTTTTTTGATCATTTCGTTTCACCAGCATGCTACACTGGCAGTGAGGAAATTTTACTTATAAAATTGTTGCGATTGATGTTTATTTTTGTGAAAACACTTTTATAAAAGTGCTTTTATGAATAGTATTTTTATGAAAACACTTTTATAAAAGTCTTTTACATTAAAGCACTTTTATAAAGTACTAAAAGTATTTTTATGAAATCAGTTTTATAAAAGCATTTTCACAAAAGTACTTTTATAAAAATACTTTTATAAAAGTACTTTTACATTAATAAAAGCATTTTATGGAAGTACTTTTATGAAAGTACTTTTATAAAAGCACTTTTATGGAAATACTTATATAAAAGCACTTTTAAGAAAATAGTTTTACAAAATATCTATGCCAACTTGTAAACAATGACTGTTGGAGACCTAGGCTGGCGGTTTATGAATACCGGCAAGTATTTATTTTTTGAAGAATAAAAATGAGCAATATAAAACACTTGTTAGTCTGAAAAGAATTCATTTTTAGGAAAAAAAGCGTTTGGTTCATAACAATATTTTTTCATTCTGCCTATTTTTACCCATTCTTTTCTATTTTAGAATTTCATCTTAGATAAGAATGAGAAATGAATCAAACATGGCTAAATATCTAACTTTCTGGTCACCACAAGCAGACCACAAAGGCATTTGATTGATACCTTTTTTAACTCATGACTACATTAAGAGGGTGTTTGGTATGAATGTGTTTCATGATCATTTCAATCATTTCGTTTCATCAGCATGCCACACTGGCAGTATTCATGCAAAGTTGAGAATGAATAGCATTTGGTGATGTTGACTCATGCAGAAATGATGGTGCAACTAAGGGATGATCATGGCTGGGTTGGACTGGACCTGGACTGGGCTTGGGCCTAGTACTTATGATAAAGGGGCTACACCCAGGCGGTAATATGTTATTGAGGGTGAAATATATAAAAGGTGGATAAATGCAAAGAGATGTTAGTGTTTCATCTAAAATCTAATGTTTGAGGAGGGGGTGTTCAGTTATTTGTTGTGTTTGTGTTTCATCTCGTTCATGAATACGCCAGGAAACATGCATGATTTTCTGATGTTAGCATGACATGGCAGTATATGGTGACGTGTAACCTATGGCTGAGTGAGCCACCCATTGTTTGATATGGTCAAATTAATGGTAATGTGGCAGTTCAGAATTTCTTATATTGAAGCTCGTTCATGGCCATACTAGCTCGATGGCAGTGATGCTCTTAGCCTCTTATTTTTCATTTTTCCTTAGGTTGTGTTTGGTTGTGATGAAAATACAAATATGTACTCTATATAATTACCTTCTTTTCGGTTCATAAATGCAAACACAAAATTGTTTGAAATCAGTGCAAAATGTGAGCCTTATCATTAATGCTCTAACTACCTATGTTCCAATTCCTTAAGCTTTGGTTAAAAAGCAAAATTACGAAGAACACAAAATTGTATCCAAAAAATAGGTATAGTAATATTCTTTCCTCAGAGTACAAAAAATTCAGAAAATATATTTTTGATCTCTTAATCATTACTTTTTTACATGTCAAACAAACATTTGCAAATGCAAAACGGAGTACATAAATACCCCTACCCGGGTTCGGTATTTGTATCACAAACAAACAAAGCCTTAGTGCCAGAGGCAGAGAAAGTTAATTGAGAGCCTGGTTGGGATGGCTTCAGTTTTGATTGAATTGCATTAATTGAACTATTTTAAGTCGATTTCTTAACTGAATTAAAGGGTACTTGGGCTTTCCAGCTGGTCTTTCACCAAACATAGCTTTTAGGATTCCATATAGAGCCTGCCTTGTAGAGACAGAAGCCGTTGTATGAAAGTCCTCCCAGATGGGTACCCAATCCTGGTAGATTAGAATTTCTTTTGGCTCCGTTTGTTTGCGATACAAATGCCGAATCAGGGTATTTATGTACTCCGGTTCGCGTTTACGAGAGTTTGTTTGTGATACATAGATGTATCCATTATGAGCGTAAAAGTGTATTTTTTGACAGGATTGTATCGTTCGAAGAGTGCATTACTGCATCGATTTTTTGGATGCAAACTTGCACTCTTTGATTGACGATGTAATTAAGGTATGCTTTTGTGCTTTGCGACTGTGAAAGAAAATAGTTGTTTGGTGCTGAGTGAGAGGAGATCTGCTGCGCCCCCCTCTTCCAACGGTAACTTTCTCACCTCCATCTCCGACCATGGCATGGTCGTTGGTGATCAGTATGTTGATCTCCTCT